TGTACGCGCCATGCCGGCGCTTAATTCTTTAACCATCGCGGAAATGGAGGTTACGGCGTCACGCTTTTTATATGCGGCGGCCACTCTTGGCACGCGTTTATGCGCCCACCACGCTTTCATCGAGGCAGCGCGACGCCGATTATCCGCAGTTAACCGGGGGATTGCGCTGGAGACATCCCCGGCGAACCTTCCGCCGGCAGCGGTTGGTTTGGGCGAGAGATTACGGCATATGATCGAGAAGATGATCGTGAGCGAATCATCGAGCCCGCCGAAAAGTCATCAGCCGCCATCATCGCGGATGCATCGCTCCAGGGATGGGGCGCCTTTTTTATTTCAGACTCCGGCGACGTTGGAATTGCCGGATGAAAATAGGAGAGGAAGCCTTTTCTTATCATGCAGGCCGAGGCACGCGCGGTACGCTTAGCCTTATCGGCCTTTCCCGCCATCCTGCCATCCACCATGGACGTTTGGATGGGCAATAATTCGCTGCGAATAAAGGCAGCTCGAAAACACACGCCATGACGTGGAGGCTGCGACGGATACATGGGTTTTTGGACTCTTGCGGAATACAGGCATTCTTTGCCTACGTGCGGTCTGCAGAAAGCCCCGCAGACGGCGTATCACGCGGTCGTGTGTTTGCAGTTCAGGACTTGGTGAAGGGGTGGAACTTGCGAAGGGGAGCGGCGGGGTCTTGTGGTTGGAGGACCCAAAGTCTGCCACTTCGTAATAAATAAATAAATAAATAAATAAATAAATAAAAAATATATACACTTATTTGATGTTACACGTTGAGGGTATAATGGTGAATCCATTCCTATTCCATACATTCCTTTCTTATTCTTACCTTGTTTGTTTTCTGTGATTGATAAACTCGGGATCCGGCCAGCTGCTCAGAAGATTATTCTGTTTTTTATTTTTCTTATTATTATTATTATTATTATTATTATTATTACTTATTGTGTGGAAGGAAGTTTATTGCTGCTTTTGGCCAATGAAATCCTTTCATTGCATTTTGCTTCTGTAAATCAATTCATTTGTGCTTCTCTTTTACGTTTATCCCCATATGTTACGTTTTTTTTTTGCTTTTTTTCTTTTTTTTCGGCTTAGTAAAGAATGAAGCTTGTAGCGCTGCTTGAGTCAAATGCCCGAAGATTCTTAGAAAATGACCAACCTCTTAGTGCCATTTCTCTCACTGCTATTTTGCGAGAGGTGAAACCCAATTCACCAAGTTATTCAATTCTTCACGCAAAAGCTCTTTTTGCTGCTCGTGAATACGATTTGGCTATGCGTTTGGCGAGAAGTGTGATAAATGATGATGCAGAGAATTCAGAAGCTGTTTTAATTGCTATGAAATCAGCCTATGAATTAGGAGATACAAAGGAATGTTCTTTTTTTGCAGATAGACTGAAGCAAATACCCTTTATGAATGTTATTGCTCTGTGCTATTTGGGAAAGTGCGCTGAAATTTCCGGGGACACGAAGAAGGCTGCATACCATTATCAATTGGCCTTGGAAATAGATCCTTTTTGTGGTGAAGCAATGACCGCTTTGGTTGAAAGAAAGCTTTTAAATATTACGGATCTTCGTGCTCTTATCGATTCTTTACGTTTCCCATCAGATGCCGAGGTGCTTCGTGCATCTTACAAGGCCCGTTTACCGTCTGAATTGGTTTCTCAGGAGCATCAAAAATACATTCCAAGGACAATATTGAAGTTACAGGCTGCTACAGCCGAATACGAAAGGAATGATTTACAGCAAGCATTGGTTTTGACAACTGAATTGCTGGAGATGACACCTTTTAATCGTGAGGGTGTGTGTTTACATCTTTCAATTTTAGTGAATATGAAAGCTACTTCAAAATTATTTGATCAGGCCCATTTTTTGGGTAATAATAAGGCTCATACGGAATTGGCGGTGTATGCCATGGGCTGTTTTCATTTTTCTCTGTCCAACTATGAGCGTGCCGGACGGTTTTTCAGCAGAGCGACAGAACTTGATGCCTCCTTTGCTGAGGCCTGGATTGCATACGGCCATTGCTACGCAAAACTGGAGGAAGGCGAACAAGCATTAGGTGTATATAGGAGGGCGATGAACTATTTTCCGGGTCTTCCATGCTGTAGTACTTTTGTCGGAATGCAATATAGTAGGATACATCAGTGGGGATTAGCCTCTTATTTTCTTGAGCAAGCTAGACAAATTATTCCAAATGACCCACTCGTGTTAAATGAGATTGGTGTTTTACATGCGAAAACTCACAGATTACAAGAAGCCGTTAGATTTCTTAGAATGGCTTATCAGTCTCTTCCTAACCCTGAAAATCCATCGGAACATCGAGATTGCATAATTTTTAATTTAGCGACGGTTTGCCGGAAAATAAAGCATTATGATGAGGCCTTATCATTCTATACTTTGTATGTTAAATGTCGGCCAAATGCTAGTCATGGTCATTGTGGTTTGGCATTTACTTATCACTTAATGGGTAACATGAAGGTGGCGATAGCTCATTATCATATAGCTTTGAGCATTAAAGCAGACTCTTTTTATCGTGACATGCTTGACCGAGCTTTGGCGACAGAGTTTGAAGAAAAGGCAGTGGGGACTGCCTGGAGGCCGGGGGGCGGTTTGGGGTCGCCTTCTCCGGATGATGTGTCTTTTTCGACTGTATCACGAACCCTTCGTTCGGAATCGGTGGCCGGTGAAAGTATAGGACCTTCACCTGGCCCAAGTCTTGGACGAAGCTTACCTTTTTAAAATCTTTATCTATTGATACGGGGAAATGAGATTGTTACCCGAGCTTTGATTATGAAGAGGAAAAATAAAAAAGAAAAGGGTTTGGAGAGCGGTTTAGGCTTTATTTTTTTGTTGTCAATTTATTTGAACTTTATCAATTTTTGCTTTTATTCGTTTTATTTTATTTTAGTATAAGAACAATGCCGTCTAGCGCGGAATATGCCTCTATGATGGAATTGGATGAGGTTCTTATTCAGCGATTTCTTGCTGGTTTTCAAGGTGAAACGGAGGAACAACTAAACAGCCTGTTGGAATTAAAGTCTTTGGTTGAGCCATTGGATCCCAAAGTGGCTCAGGGGGTTGTTTTTAGAAATTCTGGAAATTGTTCAGCGACAATTGAATGCCTTCGGAAACTAGGAGAAAAGCACTCCGTTAAGACTGAAATTAATGGACATGGGGAAAGTCCTCGTGATAAAAATATAGAAAGGAGTTTTTTTTCTTGGCTTTTCAAAAGAAAGCCAAAACGCGAAGTTACAAAATCAACCCCCGAAGGGGCGAGTACCAAGGCTGATGATGATGGTACACCTTCTTCATCCAAAGTTAAGGAAAATGTATCCATTTTTATATCTCCTCATGAGATTAGAGAAAAGCCCCTTCCTCAGGAAAGAGAAAATAATGTTTCCCAGGAAAAAGAACAGAATTTCGATCATGTTTCATTAACTCGTCCAGTTATTAGGAGAAGTCATGAAGAAGAGGAGCTATCAAAGGAGTACAATTTTTATGGGAAACCTAGTACAAATTTTGTGTCAGTTTCTGATCCTGGTGAGGAATTTCAAAAGATATATAGCAAGTTTTTGGAGTCAATGTCCTAGTATATTTATTATTATCATTATTGATTTAAATTTATTTAATTTTTATATTTGATTTATTCTTTATTACAAACAATAATAATAATAATAATAATAATAATAATAATAATAATAATAATAAATTGTGTCTATATATCTATTTATACATGCATGCTTTTTCAAAAATCTTAATAGGAGATGTTTTTTCACACATTAAGACGTTTAGCCGTCTCGAAGGCGGCAATTGAGAGTTACATTGATTATCTTCGAAATGCGGACCGAGAATTGCCCGCATTAAGCGAAATTCTCCCGCGGCATCAGGCGAATACTAAAGAACTTTTACAGTTTCACTCACTTTTATGTGAAGTAATGCAAGAAAACGGCTTTAATTTTATGGGCATTAAGGTAATACCTCCTTCCTCAGCTGCTTTGCAGTGTTTGAGATGGACTGACGCCGTTTGTGTTCCGCTTTTTTCAAATGCATTTCAACAAACTGATTTTTCAGTGAAACAACAGCGGATTCACTTTGTTGAACCGCTTTTTGTTTTGCGCTTGGGCCGTGATGCGCCGTCTCAGTTGACAGCAAATGCGGTTGTTGCCGTATGTGATACATTTCGTCCTGGAATCGAGCTTAATGGGTCACGTTTTCCTTTTTATCCTCCTCATGCAACGGGATTTGCCGCAGATTTAGGAGGTTGCATTGGTGTTTGTCTTGGTGAAGAGACTGATCTTGGCAATACTTCTTTGGATACATTGGGGAATCATTACTTTGTGATGACTCGAAAAGACGAGCCTCTTCAGGTTGGATCCGGAAAAAATTGTCTGGGTGGCCCTTCTGCGGTGGTGGCTTTAGCGGTATCTTACGCAGCTTCTATGGGGAAGCCTCTTCGTACTGGACACTACGTTTTTTGTAGTGGAGTGGGATCGCGTTCTCCGGCCGTGCCAGGTGAATATAAAGTGAATTATGGTGTGTACGGTAGTGTGATTTGCTCACTTTCTTGAAAGGATTTAGAGATTTTCTATTCTTACTGGTTATTTCCATTTCTTTTCTTTATATATATAATATATATATAGTATATAATATGTGCATTTAAGTTGCTTATTATTATGATTATCGGTCTGTTTTTTTTTTCTTTTTTTTTTTTTTTTTTTTTTTTTTTGCACTTCACATTAGGGGGAGAAATGATAATCCGGATCATAGGCGATAGTTGGGTTCCAGAGGATAAAGTGCTCATCAGCGTTCGAGAAGATAATGAAATTAAGTCCTCTCTTCCAAACATTATGAAGAAACTTTTGATCAAAAGAATAGGCGATTACAAATTTTATCATACAATAGGGGAAAGGAAATGTGACTATGGACGGCCTATCGATACCCATTCCACGTGGAAACAAATAGGTGTTTCTAGTGGGAGTTGTATTTATTTGACCAAAAAAGAGCCTTCCTTGAAGGAAGAACCAACAAGCACAATTGATTTGGCTGAAAACAAAGAGAAAGATCAAGAGGTGACCATGAATATCCCAACGTCAGACGAGGTGATTAATATTCCACCATCAGCTGCTTCCGTCGTCATTACGGAAGAAAGTACGCATAAAGATTTGATGAATTACCCACAAGAAGTTACTAGACCCATTTATACAACCACATTTAATTCTTCCATTCAGGTTGGATTGACCTCTCAAGAAGAAATTGTTGCCTTGCCAGTTCAGCCATGCAGCGGCAAAGACGAAGGGCAACTCCCTGTTTCAACAGGATATCAGCAAAACACTGATATGACAAATCAGAACCATACATCTCAATCAAACAAAACTCTTCTTTTACAAGAGAGCCAGCATTACTTAAAAAAAAGTGGGGCTCCCGGGCCTTCTTACTTGCCAGAAGTTAATTATCGTTGCTCCTATGATTCTCGGGCGACTGCACCGCCTATTCTTGAAAAACCTTCAACGGGTCGAGAGAAACGCGATTTGTTACTCCGTCGTTATGAGCGTACAGCCTACATGGTTTCCTTATATGAGTTTGCACATCTGGAACTAGAACGGCAGCGCCGACGAGCTGAGGAATTGCTTCGTGGGGTTCAAAGAGGCTCATTTTGTTCTCGAACACCCCAACCCAAACTGCTGTACAAAATCTAAATGAATATTAACAGAGAACAAAAACATGTGTTGGAATAAAAAATAGCATTGAACCTTGGCGTTTTTCCATTTGTATCTATGCGTTATGGCCTCTGCTGATAGTACTACGAGCTTCTCTTTTATTATTATTATTATTATTATTATTATTATTATACAAGGGTTAGTTTTTTTTTTTGCTGAGGGATTTTGTCATTTAAGAGCTTGAATACCACCGTCATTATGTCTCTTGTTGAAAGTCAGAAGGGTATGACGGATCTGATACCCTGTAATGAGCAGTGCGGTGGGGATTATGGCAACTACTCCTTTGGTCAAGGGGATTTGGATGTTACTGTTACAGTTCCGCTTCCGGAAAATACGACCAAAAAAATGCTTTTGGTGCAAATTACAGCTTCCAAGCTAATTGTGGGTTTAAGAGGCAAGCCACCTATTATTTCTGGAGATTTTTACAGACCTGTCAAGGCTAGTGAATGCACATGGTGTATTGAGGACAAAAGGCTTCTGGTGATTAATATGGTGAAAACAAATTCTCAGCACGAGGAATGGTGGCCTTGCGTTGTGGTTGGTGAACGTCAAATAGACATGAAAACCCTCAAACCGCCAAGCAAGCACGTTTCCGAACTAGATGAAAGTGCCCAGGCAACTATTGCGAAAATGATGTTTGACCAGCGACAGAAAATGCAAAACCTTCCAACTAGTGAAGAAATGCGGTTGCAGGAGATGATGCGAGCTGCTCAGGGGGCAAAGTAGCTTCTCCTTATTTGTTTCTTCTATTCACCCAAGTGATAACACGTTATTATTACACTATTATTAATTTTATTTCTATATTTTCATTTTGTTGTAAAATAACAAAAACAAAAACATATTCTTTTTAATATGTGTATAAAAGAAATTTGCTTTTTGCGACCATTTTGTATTCTTTGGATTGCTATTTCAGCTGCCTTATTTTTCTTGACAAGTGGCCTTTTTTGGTTTGTAGCAATGAGTTCTGAAAACCCCAAAAGCCTTGCCAGTACTCTTGAACGCCCTGAATCCTTTGATGATTGGCTTCTTGGAACCCATTATTCCCAGAAGTACATGGCGACGTTGCGGCTTATGGAAAATTCGAGTCCCATTTATTCTATAGAAAAAAAACGGGGTATGCATGCTGCCCCTGGTAAGCAGCGCTCCCGGATCCAGCGAAAGGGCATGCCATATCGAGCAAATATATCAGCAAAAATTGATGTACATTCGATGGAAAACCCTTCAAAGCATGCATCAGAAGCTACTCGCAAGAAAAATGTCGGAATGTTACCTCCTTGTGATCCTGTTGTGTTTACCGGGAGGAAAAATAACGCCTCTTTGAGGGGTGCGGGGGCCACGGAGAGCCATGTGGATGAGCCGGTTGAGGTTATGGAAACCCGGGATCTTCTTCGGGAGTCGTACTATCGAATAAAAAATTCATGTACTGGAGTGTTTCCGGCTCTTCTAACCCCTTATCAACGTTCTTTTTGGTCGTACAAAACGGTAAATGATCATCAAAGCGCTGAGCTTCCCGTTGACAGTAGGACCGCAACAGAGAACAATCGGTCATACAATGAGTTATTTTTGCCCCCAAAATCACAAAATATAAATGATATACCGCTTAATCAACGAGCCGTCACATTTAGGAGACACCCTCCCACTGGCCCTCCTTTGTTTGCTCCAACTCCACCTTCATACAAGTGGCTCAAGAGCATGCGTTGAAGCACCAATGTAAATAAAATTAATTTCTTGATTTTTTTTGTTTGCTGCCTCTGTTGTATAATTATTATGATGATTATGCGTTCAGCTAATTTTGGCTTTTCATTTTCAATTTCTTCTTTGGCCCTAAAAAATATAAAAGGGGCTGGAGCGAGAGCGAGGGTATGTGAGGAAAGAAGGAATTGACAAAAACACCCCCCAAAAAAAAACACCAACAAAAGCTCATGTGTAATATGCCTCTTTTGTCATTTGTAGATGCGCCTGATAAAAACTCTGTTGATGTCTGTTTTTCAAATGTATTTATTTATTTTTATTCTTTTGCCACCCGTATTATTTTTGCTCCATTTGCTTTCTCTGTTATTGTTCTCTCCACATCACCATTATGTAAGTTTCCAAGCAAAAAAGGAAAATGGGCAAGGTCCACGGCTCATTGGCACGTGCCGGAAAGGTGAAGAACCAGACCCCGAAGGTCGCTAAACAGGAGAAGAAAAAGCAGCCCCGTGGTCGTGCGTTCAAGCGACTGAAGTACACTCAGCGTTACCTTGCCAAAACGCTGAAGCCGGGTGAGAAACTCCACATGAACAAGCAACCACCGGGCAAGGCTGGCTAAGGCGTAGGAAGCATTATTTTCTTTTTTTTCTTAATTTTGCGACTCAATTTTATTTTTTACTTATTTGCCTTTTCGTGTGCTGTGAATAAGATAACATTAGCTTTTGATATTTCTCATGTGTGTATTATTTGTCCTTATACATATTTATGTCTTTTTTTTTTTTTTTTTGCTTTGTGATAGGGCTTTCTTGAGCTAGCAAAAGGAAAATGGGCAAGGTCCACGGCTCATTGGCACGTGCCGGAAAGGTGAAGAACCAGACCCCGAAGGTCGCTAAACAGGAGAAGAAAAAGCAGCCCCGTGGTCGTGCGTTCAAGCGACTGAAGTACACTCAGCGTTACCTTGCCAAAACGCTGAAGCCGGGTGAGAAACTCCACATGAACAAGCAACCACCGGGCAAGGCTGGCTAAGGCGTAGGAGCGAAATCCCAACGATCTCATTCCTTTAATTTTGTTTTTATTTTCTACTTTAGAAATATGAAATTTTTTTTCTTGGACATGCAAAGAAGACCTTTTCTTGTGGGCCATCTATTCTTCTTTCTGAAGTTGCTACTAAAAAAATAATTTTTCATCACTCGAACTTTTTTTCTTCTTCTATTTGCTTATTTACCTTATTATGGTGTATTCTTCATATTTCTCATGGAAGGTTGTAATCATGGGCGTTTGCCAGGCCAAGGGGACCCACACAAAGGAGGAGCACAATCCCTCCAGAGGGTGTGGTGAGAAAGCCCATTTCCTAAGGAAGAATATTGAAAATGGGAGTCCTGTAACTTCTCCACGGAATCGCGAGCTGCAAACTAAAGCCACGCACTACCTGCGTTTATTTCTCGAGGGAGCGGAGTCTGTTTTCGGTGGGGGATATCCCTTTAATTCACCAGATGAGCAGTATCACGTTGCCTTGACGTTCTTGAATTCATGTGTGGAGGTGACACGTATGAAGTTCCGCTTAAAAACCGTCGTGATTGTCGATTTGATCGAGAAGATTGCAACTGAAAAAAAACTAAAGACAATTTTAAGCATTCTACCTGATGTGAAGGAAAACTGCGTTGATGAAGGCTTCGCCCGACTTCTTCATATGTGGTTTGAAAATAATTCCGGCTTCTCAAATACGCTGGACAGGGTTGATGATGGACCCGTGATGGTGGGTAAAAATATGAATAAGAATGCCAAAAATTTGACTGGTTTTTCAAGTATTTTAGCTTCTTATCTTCGTTCGGCAATTTCGATACAAGCGATGAATATATTTCCGAAATTTGTACACGATGGAGACATTATGACGGTAGAACAGTTTGGGAAATTTCTGCGAGAGACGCAACGCACAGATGTAACAGATTCTCAGGTGAGAGAAAAGTATAACTACCGTTTTGGTGGGGCAATTCATAGGTATAACTTCAACACCTACCTGGGAGGTTTGTCAACTAACTGTGCTCTAGATCCGTTACGGACGAAAGACGTTTGGCAAGATATGACGCAACCGTTGACTCGTTACTCAGTTAACACAGCACGTATTGAAAACGAAGCTGATCTCACGAGAGCCTTGGAGGACAGCTCTAGAGCCTTTCTCTTGAACTTAAAGAAAAATGAAGAAGGCGTGCTCTGTAGTGGGACTTGTCCCTTGCAAACCATTCTGGAGAGTATTCAAAAAAATGGCTTTGTAACTAACTCCTATCCCATTGTTTTGTGCCTCTCTCCGGCAAAACCTATCTCATTGGAGCTTATGGACGAGCTGGCTTGTATCATTACAAAGGACTTTTCTTCTTTGTTGGCAAAAGGTCTTATGTTTGAAGGATCGATTATCAGTGATCCTAAATTCAGTCCTGCTGCCCTTCGAAAAAAGGTGCTTCTCTTGGGATATCAGAGCCGATTGAAACCCTTTGTTGGATGTTTTGTGGCGGACATGAACAGGGATGGGCTTGGTGTACGCGTGACGGATGTTGTTGAGGGTACTCCTGCCGCAAAGGGAGGTTTGTCTAAGGACGATTGGCTGACCCACATTAATGGCGAAGCTATTCAAAACAAGCAACACCTGCGTGAACGACTGGCCAAGTTTCATCTTGGTGAAGAATTTACTTTGAGGAAAGAGAATTTGGAGGATATCAAGATAGTGGTGGGGGGTATTGTTGATACAGATGACAAAGGTGCATCGGCTTCCCTATCAAACATCTTATTTTTGAAATACACCGACGGCAATTCTGAAAAGCCTTGGGAGACACAGGTCTTAGGAGGGAAAACGATTCAGAACTCCAATCTAAAGAGGAAGGATCTTGACGATCATTTTGCACTCTTCTATAGCGAAGGGATTAGTGCCAATTTGGATCACATTGGCATTGCTACCGAAATGGGGGTCCAATTTATCGACACTGGAATTCTGCAAGAAGCTCAGATGTGGGCTCATGGTCGATTTGTAGATAATGGAGGTAGTGGGTATCTTATTAAGAGTGACTCTGGGATGGAAGGAACCGTAACTGCGACGGTAGAAATTATCGCCGGACCCCAAGAGATCAAAGGGGTGGCTTTGACAAAAGGAAGAGCTCGCGTATACGGCGCTGGCTCCGCTCGCGTCGATGGAAGCAAATTTACATTTAAGGGGTGTAACGATGCAACAGTTACTGTGATTGACTGCGAGTTTGCACAAAATGGAGGTTCCTTTAGTTTCTCTGCCGCGTTTCCTTTGGCTCTCCTGCGTTCCGGATGTCGGGTCCTACCCTTGCGGCAAACTGGTGGTCCCAAGGATCTTGGTGTTCCCACACCTTCTGCGTATTGTTACATCCGACGAGATGTTTAGACTGCAGGAAAGTGGGAGAAGTTGTTTCATGTAAAGCGCAATAACGCTGGTGGGAAGAAACGACGAAAAAAAGAATAACAAAAATTAAGCGGCAGTAGCCAAAGAAAGGAGAATCAATGGCAAGAACAGGGCTAAGCGTAAGCAAAAGTAACCACAACCACCACTACGAAAAGGGAGAAAAAAAAGTAAGCAGAAGCAAAGGAAATGGGGAGAAGGAGGGGTGAAGAAAAGAAGAGGCAACGGACTCGAATTTGTGCTCAGATTGTGAATGATAACTCGGAAGCCAAGGAGAACGGGAGCCGCGCCGGGTTGCACAATCAACGATGGCCTTACGATTAGATGTTGGAAAATGAACTAACGCAAAGGTTGAATTTCTAACTAGTTCATGGGAAAGGAAATGAAAGGGATGGGGTAGTGTCTTCAATTTGAGGCGTCTTCACTTTCTTTGAGTCCTCGCGGCAGGTTGGCTTATATGGAGAAGAAAGACTTTAATGAGAAAATTTAGAAATATTCTCTTTGTTTTTTTTTTTTCTTTAACCGCTTTAGGGACGCCATTTCCCTTTTGGGAGAAAATGGGGGTTCCGATGAAATGCCCCACCGAATATTTGTTTTTCGGTGTGCCCATATTTATTCTCCTTTTTCTTTGTGTCTTCTCACTTTACTGGATGTGTTAACTCTTTTGACTCGTCTCATTTTATTTTTTTATTTTTATTTTAGAGGTTCTGTGCAGTGTCTGACATTGCTTTTTGTTATTTTATTTTTTAGCGAAGAGGCAAGTAGAGAGTGTGCAATATTATTGCCTGCAGTTGTTGTTGTAGGCGCCGATGCTTCGGCGAACTTCTTGGAGAGCAGTTGGGTACACACCAGTTAATCCAGATACTTCCCCTATGCTTGCCTACAGCCAGTACCACTGGCACTACAACCTGCCACAGGGAATGGAGCGGCCGCATGGGGTCAATCGAACAATGACGGCACCGTATCAAAGTGCCCACTCACTTGTTAACAAATATCGAGGCGTATGGATTGAGCTTGACATGCATCCCGCTTTTCGCGTAGCGCTGGAGCCACAGTTACGCAAACTGCCCCAAGGACGTACCATACCAAAAACATCTGTAGATGAAGTTATTTCGGATTATATTAATACGGCACACCTTATCCAGGACGAAATGACGAGAGATCTTTGGCTAGCAAAGGTGCTTCAACACTGTGCATTTCAGAGAAGCAACGAGGGCATGGCACTCTGGGAGAAGTACTGCCATTCACGCTTTATAGCTGATGGGGCTACTGCGACGCCACCGCTCCCCCTAGTCAAGGCCATTCTGTTCTACTGTAGCAAAATAGATTACCAAGGGTGGAGCTCTATTTTTCAAAAATGCTTAAAAAATGACTGGAACTACACTCCTCTATTTGACACGGCCCAGTGGAATTTCTTGTTGAAGAGCGTCGGGCGTATGGGCGACGAGAAAGGGGTCCGGCTCATTCTAGAAGAGATGTTGGATGTGCAAGCTGACCTCGATCGTGTGGAGGCACGATCTATCGTGATTGCGCTTAACGCCGTAACTGACAACGACATTTATGAATACATAAAAAAGTACTTGTTCAACTTTGGTGAACGTAAGGTGAAGTTCTTGCGTATCATTTACTCTGATCTACGAGGCCACGGGGCGGGGAAACTTCGGATTCCTCTCAAAGAAAATGACAAGATGTTTTATCATGTTTGTTGGCACAGCAGCATCCGCGCTCCGAGGCAATTTTCTCCACGTCAGTTGTATTTCGATTACACACCTTCAACCCTCGGTGCAAGTGTACACAATCCGAACGCAAAGATTGATGACATTGTCAAGGACAAGATCGAAAAATGGAAAACAGAGGGACTTCTTCCCGAGGACTATGTGCACGAAGATCGTGTATATGATCGTGGAACTGCTTTCAAAAACGTTGCTCGCCAGGAGAAGTGGAAGAAGATGCCAAGGATTGTGAAGAGCAAGAAAATGGGTTACACGGGTGATCCGTAAGAAGGGAACCTTAAATGTCATGGGCATTGTCTTTTCAATATCATATGCAATTTTCCGCGCGTCATGGCGCAACGGGGAGGCCTTTGCAACACTAAGAAAACGACCCCGTATTGTCATCTTTTGGAATACCGAGGTCTTTAACGTGGTCATTCCTCGAGACTACTTATTAAAAAGAAACGGTATGTGGACAACGATGTTGTTGGAAGTGCCTTATTATTTCTCGGGTTGGCAGGCTTTTCCTTGACACTACTGGAATACATTCAGCCTTGGGGAATTGCTGAGTACGCGTGATCATGTTGGTTGAGGCTGCGGTGCTGTGGGGGAGTGGAAGCAAAGAAGAAGAAAAAAATCAATTTCTTTGGTGGACTGCATCCTCTTCTTTTTGCTTTGCCTACAATTATAATTGAGCACCCCTGATAATCATGGTGCAATAATCTTTTTTTTTTTCTTTTTTTAAATGTATTTTTGGAGAGAACGGGACAAAATTAGGTGGGGCGACATGTTGCGAGGGTCCTCTTTTCTCCTCTCAAACGCTCTCCACAATCCTGGTCCATTTTTGGACGGGGCTCTTCAGATAATAAAACTTCATTTGGCACATAAGAACGCTGCAGCGGACGGTAACGCAAGGGCATGTCGTGCCATCGAGAGTGAATTCATGCGAGAAGTTGAAATGTTTCGTCCATTTTTTACGATGTCCTCTTCACTGACTGTGGCAAAACTCTACACAAAGAAACTGCACAGCGCATTGTCGTATTTCCGCCTTCATGACGACCCACTTATGCGGCAGCTGGACCTCATTATCGGAAAGCAGAGCATGCGCCATGGTACAAGTGGTCACAACGGTATTTTTAAGAATTCAGTTGCGACTAATTCAAGCGCACTGTCCTTCCTAGAAGAAAGGGAGGAGACTGTGCTCCCGACCGAACTTCCTCATCCGCCCAAACCGGATCCTTTGACACCGCCTAGGGAGGGTGCACTTAAATTGCCTCTGCGCCATCGTGGGCACTGGGTACTGCGGGAACCGGAGATTGCCATCACTCGGGCAGAGCGAAGGAGTGACCCCTGGTGAGCAAAGTAATAAAGACCGGAGGAAGAAAACGGGAGCATACACATGCATTTCGACTTTTTTTTTTTAAGACTTTTTTCCACCCTTTTCATGTTGTGTTTACAATTTCATGTAGGACATCTGACCGATTGGCTTCATTTGAATCATCTCAAAGGTATTACGGGATAGTGAAGCTACATTTCATGGCGGACGCGTACATACCCCTCATGATGACATCAGGGGTGCCCTGCGTTCTTACATCCACTTCCTTTCCTGAGGCTCTTCGAGAGACGTCCAATGAGTTGGTTTGCGATTCTGGTTTGCGCTGGTTACACAAAAATGCCCATTTATTGGGTGACGTGCGCTCATCTGGTTTCTTGCTGGCGGGGGCGAAGGTGGTCGTTCGGGGAGAAATCGCCTCTGTAACTCTCGCAGATGCCGTTATTCTCTGCGAAGAGTGTATTGTGCGCCCACCGCTACGGTCATTGTTGAACTTAAATTCAATTGAGTCATCCCCTTTGGTGATAGGCTCCGCAACAGTGATTGGGAGACGAACAGTGTGTGAAGCAAAGTCAGTAGGAAGCTACGTGCATGTTGAGGACGACTGTGTCATTGGGGAGTGGGTGGAGGTCCCTGATGGTGTGTGGCTGCGTTCGGGATGTGTTGTGCCCTCTGGGATGAGGCTTGCGCCTTATGTTGTTTACGAGGGACGTCCAGCACGTCCGGTGGCCAGCCTAGATGCGGAGTTGCATCAGATATTTATGAAGGAAAGAGTTTACGAGGTGTTCTCTGCTCCATCGGATCCTGTGCCACAGTGAGAGGTGTGTGCATCTAAAGATTTTTTTTTAGCGGTGGCATCCTTGTTTTGCCTGTGTGGGCTGTGGGGTTTTTACAAATTTTTTTTTTGGATATTTTGCCCTTTTTTCCCCACCAGACCCTCCTGCTTTTCAGTTTTTTTTTTTCTTCCTTTTTTTAAGCGTCCGTAAACTTAGAAGGCACGTTTTTTTTGAGAGTTTTTTTCTTTGTTTGCCTTGGTTTTTGGAAAAGACGCGTGCGTTTCGGTTTTTTCTCCGTGGGATGTCGCAGAGCGTGGAAAACAATGCCCTTCTCGCGGAGATTGCTCAGCTGAAGCTTCTCTTGGCTGAGAAGGAGGCTTTAGTTGCCAACGACGACACTGGTTCAGTTGTCAAGAAGCCCAAAAAGAAGAGCCAAAAGAATATGGTGGAGACAGAGCCTGTTCAAGGGTGTCGTGACTTTCCTCCTGAGGCGATGCGCTGCCGCCGCCATCTGTTCGATGTTTTCCATGCCACTGCGAAGACTTTTGGCTTCGAGGAGTACGATGCACCGGTTCTGGAGTCGGAGGAGCTGTACATTCGTAAGGCTGGAGAAGAAATTACCGAGCAGATGTTTAACTTTATTACAAAAGGTGGTCACCGTGTGGCACTACGACCTGAGATGACGCCATCGTTGGCTCGCTTGTTGCTTGGAAAAGGGCGCTCCCTTTTGCTACCGGCGAAGTGGTACTCCATTCCACAATGTTGGCGCTATGAAGCCATCACTCGCGGTCGCCGTCGTGAGCATTACCAATGGAACATGGACATTGTTGGTGTAAAGTCGGTGTCAGCGGAAGTGGAATTGGTGTGTGCGGCATGTTGGGCTATGCGGAGTCTGGGGCTATCGTCTAAAGATGTTGGAATAAAGGTCAATTCGCGCAAGGTGCTACAAACCGTGGTGGAGCAAGCGGGCGTTACGTCTGACAAGTTTGCTCCGGTGTGCGTTATAGTTGACAAAATGGAGAAAATTCCTCGAGAAGAGGTGGAGGCGCAGCTGGCCGTTTTGGGTCTTGAGCCCACCGTGGTAGACGCAATCACGACGACACTTAGTCTCAAGTCTATCGACGAGATTGCACAGCGTGTCGGCGAGGAACATGAGGCTGTGAAGGAGCTGAGGCAGTTTTTTGAACAGGTGGAGGCGTACGGCTACGGCGATTGGGTTCTCTTTGATGCGAGTGTGGTGCGTGGGCTGGCGTATTACACGGGCATTGTTTTTGAAGGCTTTGACCGTGAGGGGAAGTTTCGTGCCCTTTGCGGGGGCGGGCGGTATGACAACCTTTTGACGACATACGGCAGCCCAACACCGATTCCCTGCGCCGGTTTCGGTTTTGGTGACTGTGTGATTGTTGAGCTTCTTCAGGAGAAGCGGTTACTTCCTGATATTCCACACGTCGTCGATGATGTCGTTATTCCGTTTGACGAGTCCATGCGGCCTCATGCGCTTGCAGTCCTTCGTCGGCTGCGTGATGCCGGTCGAAGCGCTGACATCATCCTCGACAAGAAGAAGGTGGTGCAGGCCTTTAACTACGCTGACCGTGTCGGAGCTGTGCGGGCTGTGCTTGTAGCGCCAGAAGAGTGGGAACGCGGTGAGGTGCAGGTAAAGATGCTCCGCGAGGGCACTGGAAAGGAAGAGGGCGGCGCTGAACGTGGTTTCGCCGTGCCACTGGACCGACTCGTGTGAGAAGAGGGAGGATGCCGGTGTGCGGGAAATACCAAAAAGAGCAAAAAAAGGAAAAAAAAAGAGGCAAATAAAAAACTGTAGAAAACAACAACGAAAGATGGGCAATAGAAGGCGAGAGTGTTTTGATAGCAGATATAACTGAAGAGCATTTGAAGCGGGAGGACGAGGAGTGAAGGGGAGTCGTGTAAGAAATAAATACAAATATCGGATGTAGCTGGAGCCAAAGTGCGTGTGGCCTGACTGTGTGCAATGACGAGTGGGCCCGTGGAGGCTTCGATGCTGTTTCCCGGTGAGACCTCTTTTACCCCCTTTTTTTGGCACGCAGAATCGTAGAGCACACGTGTCGAACGCAAGCAAAGCCAACAAGCCGCCCCAAAGAAGGAAAGAAGAAAAAAGAAGGAAAAAGAGGAAAAAAAAATAAACGATATGAGCGAGCACCAACTGGATATTGGGCTACTATGCATTACGAACGTGTCACTTATTAGTGGACCGCAGCGTCCGGAAGAAGATCTTCATGAATCTGCCACGCATGCCATGCGGTTGCTTCTGAATGAGTGCCAGGAACTTCCAACGACGAAAAAGCGGGGGAAGTTTGACGCGAGCACAACGCTTGTGCAGCTGCCGCAGCCTGTTATGCTGCTACCGCGCGAGAAGGCCCCACCGAGGCCAAAGCCTCTCACTGCGTGGGAGAAGTTCGCCCTGAAGAAGGGGATCGCCCTGAAACGCAAGAAGAGTAACCGTGTCTTTGACGAGGAAAAAAAGGTGTGGAAGGATAAGTGGGGGAAGCGCGCCCGTGAGGAACGCGAGAAACATGACTGGCTGAGGGAGGTGGGCCCCAACTACGTCCCACAAGAAGAAGGCGGCGATCCATTCTTGGATGACCGCAGAGCAAAGAAAGTCCGACTGGAAAAGCAGAAGAAGAAGGAAGAACATAATAAACGTCGCTCAGAGCACATTGCACGGGCACAGGAGGAGGTAAAGCATCTCAGCGCCGTATCAAAACATCTAACTACGGCGTCCAATGGCAAGTATGACAAAATCTTGTCGAGGAAGAAGGGAAAGAAGTGAAATTGGGCCGTTATTTGTTTCTTTTTTAAATATTTCGATTAAAACTCTTTTGACTCCCGTTTTCTCGTCTTTTTCCATTTATGTGTGTGTGTGTGTGTGAATAAGGGGTGAGAATGGCTGGTGGCGGTGATTGTTGACATGCGACCTTCTTCTTCTTTTTCTTTGAAATGCCCTTTACTGCTATTGTTTGCTTATTGTTATTATGCCCAGTTCTAAATTTCTTTTGCTGTTACTGTCATTATACTTGCTACCTTCTCTTCCTCCTCTCCCCGTCGTTTTGCCCACGTGATACACACTCCACACGGCTTGTAGCTGATACAACGCTACCATTTGCCGCACAACGCGTAAGACAACAAACACACAAATACCAAACCTTTTTGGATGGGCGGCATACCCTCGAAAAAGTCTGTTCGTAATCACGGCATTGACGGTGTGGTGAAAAGTTCTTCGAACAAAGCGCAGGGGAAGAAGATGGAGGCACCAGAAGCAGCAACCGCTGCGACAGGAAAAGAGACCGCGAAGACTCCTTCAAAGGCCATAGGTGAGGCGCAGGTGCAGAATATGATCACACAAGAGGGTCGTGATATTGTGATTATCCACGGCAAAGTGTATGACGTTACCTCCTTTACGGCGTCACACCCAGGTGGCGAGGCGGCCATCAAGAGCAACGTTGGCAAGGAGGCGGGGGAGACGTTTGAAAGCATGCATGGCTCTAGGGCACACGAAAAACTTGAAGAGTTCTTGCTTGGACCATTGGAGGTTGCACCCTCCGTACTTACGGAATTTGAGGTGCAACGGAGGATCAGCGAGGATAAACGTGTACTGTTGATTATTCACGGATATGTTTATGACGTCACAGGATTTGTGGCGTCACACCCAGGAGGTGAGGCAGCTATCATGTCTAAACTCGGGGAGGAGGTGGGCGAGGTGTTTGAACGCATCCACGGGAAAACCACAAAGGAATTGGCCAAGGATTTTATTGTGGGGCGCCTGTCGTCAACAAAGGTGGACGTCAAAGACGCTGCTCCCAAATCCCCTGCGGTGTCAAAGGCGGTGATAGAGACGAAGGTGCTCGAGAGTGTGGATGTGGCAGTTGATATCAAAAACATCACATTTTCGTGCCCAGAAAAACTACGGATAATGCCTGGTGGGCACATTTCGGTGTTGGTTCCTGATGGGTCCAGCAATGGATTCATAAAAGTGAGCCACTACACCCCGTTCGTATGTGAAGCGACTAGCTTTACCATAACCGTGAAGAAGTATCCGAATGGTATGACTTCTTCTTATCTTCATTCGCTCAAGCCTGGCGACACCATGAAATATGAGGGCCCTCTTCCACCAAATTGGGTCGTGGAGGAGGACGGAGCTTTGAGGAAGGAACAGGAGGACAAGAGACATGTGCTTTTCATTGCGGGTGGCGTTGGTATAACTCCGATCTACACAATGGTGGAACATCTGCTAAAGAATCAAATCGCGTCGGCAACGCTTGTGGCAAGTTACCAAGTGCCGGAGGTGATGCTGCTACGCAAGGAGTTTGCTTCATTTATTGAGAAATACGGAAAGGGCGCTGGGAAGGATACCACGGAGGGAGGGGAGGTAAACGTGTCTCCCCGCAAGAAATTTGAGCTACACTATGTCTTCACCAGAACAAAGGAGGCGCCAATTGTGCCGGAGACAGGTAATGTACATTTGGGTCGATTTGGCGCCGAGGTGATGAAGCAACTGTCTCCCACGGTGTCGTGTGTCATCTGCGGTCCTCCCAGCTTTGCGGATGGCGTTGCGAAGGAGCTTGTAAAAAATAATATCTGCAACTACCAGCAGGTGCATGTCCTTTAATTGGAGGCTGCACTCTCTTCCCATGTAAAAACCACATCTTTTCAACGAGTCTTACGCTTTAGAATTTTTCTTTGCTTTTGAAACCAGTAATTATACATGTATAGAAATGAATAAAAGTCTCGCGAGACGGCGAAAACAAATGGAGGGGTGAGAGAGACAGAGCGACGAGCCCTCAAATTCTTCCAATCGGTACGTGAATTTATTAGGGGGCTACGGCTTTTCGGGATATTCTTTCGCTGCTCCTGTTGTTGCTGACGGCTTGAGTGCGGGTGCGACCAAAAATTATTTTGACCGGGAAATTTCCTCCTTTTCGGTGTATTTTACTTTCTTTTTTTGGCTTGAAGTCGGGGAATGTTGGGGGGTCGGGGCTATTTTTTTTGTCTCTATGTAGAGGGTGGAAAGCGGCGGCGATGAGGGACGGAGAGGGGGTAAAAGGGGCGTTTGGACCCTTTTTTTATTATTATTAGGAGCTTGTGAAAAGAATGATCGCGGGAGAGCTGGCTAACCTAATGAATGTATGTGTATATCCTGATAAACGAAGGCATTCTTTATGATACTTTCCACCGTATGAATCTTTTGGGAAGAACGCGACTTTTTAGGGGGCAGGGAGCGGATAGAGGCCGGATAATTTTTATTTTTATTTTGCCATCCCACCCTAACCCCCTTTTGATTCCCACCACGCGGCGGGGTCTTGTGGCTGGAGGACCCCAAAGTCTGCCACTTCGTAAGTAATAATATTCAAATCCTAACTGAGGGCAAGGGACCATGCTAGTGGTGCACAGAATTCTATATATTGAATGAAAAGAAAACATTCAAACAATTAACTAACGAACCTTTTTTCCCTAACTTGTTTGGTTTCCATAGGTTTTCAGGATCCGGCCAGCTGCCCGGAAGATTATTCCCTCTTGCGAGGGTTTTTTTTTTCTTTCCCATCCGCCTGCCATTTTTTCGCGAGGAGAGCGACCGAATAAATCGTGAGCCTCAAATAAATATATTCGAAAGGAGTCCGTCAATGTATTTGTGCAGGCGGTGTGTAATGCGTTTGTTTGTTTGTATTTTTGAAGGCTTGCAACAGTTGTGCTACGGTGTCTTTTGTTTGCTCCTGCAACATCGCCCTTCAGCCTTTATTGCACGTTACTGCAGCCGATCCCATTGCATTACTTTTATTCTTCTTTGCCTCGCATAATTTTTATGGAGTGGCGTGTTAGTCGTGTGTCCGAGTGCAAGTTTGTTGAAGCAGAGAGAAGGAAAACGCGAAGGGTATCGGGGTAGAAATAGGGTAGCAGGAGTTTGCTGTCATTTACTTGTCGGGGCCAGACGGCTCAGAGACAAAAACAGACAAGCGGCAGCACTGAGAAGAATAAAAAGGGAGAAAGGTAACAACACACGCACACAAACACACGGGAAGGTTTCTTTTTGTGTTTTTTCCTTTTTTTTTTCTTTGCATTAGGAGGCAATCACCAACACCCAGCGCCAGGCTAAGGGAAAGGAGGTTTTTGGTGAAGCATCTGCAAAGATCAAATTGCCTCCAACGCTTGTGGCAAGTTACCAAGTGCCATGCTGCTACGCAGTTTGCTTCACTTATTGAGAAATACGGAAAGGGCGCTGGAATCAAGAGGATAAACGTGTTCCCCCACTTGAGCTACCTATGTACCTTTTTCTTTGGATCTTTTTTTTTTTTTTGGAATATATATATATATATTGGAAATGAATAAACGTCTCGCGAGACGGCGAAAACAAATGGAGGGTGAGAGAGACAGAGCGACAAGCCCTCAAATTCTTCCAATCGGTACGTGAATTTATTAGGGGGCTACGGCTTTTTGGGATATTCTTTCGCTGCTCCTGCTGTTGCTGGCGGTTTGAGTGCGGGTGCGATTAAAAATTAATTTGACCGAGAAATTTCCTCCTTTTCGGTGTATTTTCCTTTTTTTTTTTTTTTGGCTTGAATTGGAATGGGGGGGGGATTTTTTTTGTCTCTATGTAAGGGTGGAAGGCGGCGGCAAGGGAAGGGGGTAAAAGGAGCGTTTGGACCCCCCCCTTTTTTTTTTTTTTCCTTCCCTCCCCTGCCATTTTGCGTTCCAGGGGAAAAAATCAAACAAATATAAAGGCCAATGTAGACGGGGGAAGTTTGTTGTTTGAGTTAAGGTGTTTTGTTGTAATTTTTTTTGTGGAAAACAACAAAAAAGGAAAAAGACAGAAGAAAAAACAAAACAAAGGGAAAGTCGCGGGCAACACGGCAGCAGTCAGTAGGAAAAAGGGCTTCTTTTGTTTTCCTGCGAAAAAACCGCTTTTTTTTTTATTTTCTTTGAGCTCTCTCTTCATATCAGCGCTTAGTCATACATAAATATATATATACACATATATACATATATATATTATTCCTGCAATCTTTGGTTGGCTGGTTGGTTTCTTGTGCTCGCAGCTTTTCCTCTTAAATCGTTGCGGCCCTCGAAACTCGTGCGCGTGTTTGGAAGGAGTCGGGGACGGGACGGCAAAGCCAGCGCGTCAAGCAATTGGGATAAAAAAGGAAATTGAGGAAGAAGAAAAAAGAAAATAAAGCAATAACAAGTCAATCCAACCTTCCAAACTAGAAAACGAGCAAATAAGCAGCTACGTGACTGTCCATAGTGTGCAGGCATGCGTCGTCAAGGCAAGAATACCACAAAGCGGAGTATGCTGCTTCGTGTTGGCTCGTTTAGTCTCGATGCTGAGCGTACGGATGGGAGTACGGTCATGGCGGGACTTTCGCCGACTTCTGGGGGCATCATCACACCTCGCCGCATCGTGCGAAGTTTGAATGTGTCCCCTGCCGTGACCCAGCTTGTGCCACTGGACGCCGTAGCTCAGCGTCCTCTGTCGACAGAGACGAGCGCCACTGTTCTTAGCGAGGAGGTCTTGGATGATTTGATCAGCGAATCCGTAAGCGCAACTTATGTGCCCGAAGGAAGTCTTCCCCTACTGGGAGTACATAATGGACCCGCTGAGGGAATGACGGCGTCGTTTGACCCTGGCAATCAAAAAAGCATGAGCTACAGTCTGACACGGATGACAGATAAGGATTCCTTGTGTTCGTCTTCGCTCTCTGGCGGGTCCTCCACCCATTCATTCTCTCACGAATATACGCTTGCGTTTGACGTAGAAAGTGTTTATAGTTGCAGTTTGTCGTGCGTGGGCGACGCAAAACACGGCACACGGAGTGTGAGTCGTCAAATGGCCTCTCCCGCTGCAACAGCAGCCGAAACAGCGGCTGCCGTTGCAGCCGCCACTCCGAATAATAGCGTTCCGGGCTGTGGGGACACTATCACAAGGGATCCAGAAGCCGGCATTGTTCAGCTTATTGCGACTGGTGACGGCTCCAACGCCGTGGAGTTTGGACGGGGGCGAAGGATTGTAAACGTGCGACGTGAGGAACGTATCGGCCGTGGCGGGTACGGTGACATATTTCGCGCTGTGGACCTTGACACAGGCCTTCCCCTCGCCATAAAAGAAATTCTTGTGACCGCAGATATTAGCAAGGATGTGGAGAAGCAGCTTCGTGCATTGGAGCGGGAGATAAGAGTGATGCGAAAGTTAAACCATAAGCACATCGTCAGCTACTATTCCGCCAGGCGTGACGAATCCTGCAGTGCATTACTGATTTATATGGAATACGTTGGTGGTGGTACGATTGCGCAAAAGCTTCGTACCAATGGCCCCTTTTCCGAGGATGAGACTCGGCATTACACCCGACAATTACTGGAGGGATTGGATTACCTTCACCAAAGACGCATTGTGCATCGTGACTTAAAAGGTGATAACTTGTTTCTGACGGAGGATGGTGTTCTTAAAGTGGGAGATTTCGGCACAAGTAAAGAGTTACAAACGACGCTTGTGACAGACAGTGTGGCTGGCACCCCGAATTTCATGGCACCAGAGGTAATTGCCTGTAGTGGTCATACCTGCATGGCCGATATATGGTCGGTGGGTTGCTGCGTCTTGGAGATGCTGACAGCTCACCCACCCTTTTGGAATTTAGACAACCACATGGCAGTGATGTTTGCCATCATGAAGGGTCGCTTAGAGGAGCAGTTGCCACACCAAATTTCTGGAGACGCCAAAGACTTTATTAGAGCCTGTCTACGCAACGACCCTAAGGAGCGCCCGACGGCTGCGCAGCTGAAACAGCACCGTTGGCTGCTATCCAAAGAGGAAAACGAGGATGTGGGAAGCCGCGTGCAATCGTGTCTCTCCTTGTCAAGTTTAGGATTCTCAAATGGAGATGGGAAACACAGGGAAGGCCAGTGCACCACGCAGGAGGGATCAATGACTGCCAGGAAGGATGTCTTTAAGAGCAGCACGGCGCCGGTCGTGTCGATCATTCCTGACGGAAACAACACCAGCGGTGGGAGCCCCGTAAACAGCTCGAAGAGTGGGAGCAAAAAAACAGGAAAAAGAAAGCGAATACTGGACCCGCCCGCGCCCTCGACGGCTGCCAAATCCCCCAGCGGCAGTGCACCTAACCTCATGCCGCCCCTCGCCACCCCGTTGAGCAACGGCCAGTTGACCAATCACACAAAACAAACCACGACGCGGTCTGCGCCCCATGCGAATGGCGTCAAACACGGTAAAAGCAACACCAAGGTTGGTATTGGCAGCACTAGGAACGGCGGCGTGAGTGGTGGCCGCGGCGAACCGAAGCGCGGCGGCCTGACTTCCGAGGGGTATGTCGTCACAAAAACGACCAAAGGTGGGCGGCTCACCACGCCAAGGCTGGAGGCCACGACGTGTTCTACGCGTTAACAAACGGTTGTGAGTGCGTGGCAGCAATGCGTCCTTGCGGCACACTTGTAACAAAGGGTGGCCGGGCTGGGGAATCGTTTGTGCGGTCTCCACCACGGTTTCCGGAAATAGATGGTTCTCTCAAGCCAAAATAAAAGGCGCTGGCGCGTGGGCTTGAAGGAATGAAGTCAAATAAACATAAAGGAAAGAGTGTGCGTCTGTGTCCGGATTAAAGTAAGTTAAGGAGGGATAAATAAATAATTATTAGACACCACGTGAGGGAGAGAGAGAGAGTGGACCCGTGTCCAGCCAAAAGAAATAAAAAAACACCCACCCACACACACACAAACAAACAAAAAACAAAAAGAAAAAAAAGGGAAAAAACAAAAACAATAGAAAAGTGATTGAGTTGAGAGGGGAGACTTCCTTTTTTTTTTTTTGTGTGTGTGTGTGTTTCTTTCTTTCCTTGTGCCCATCTGTCGACGTCGCTATCAGAGTCACGAGGGATGGGAAGAAATGCCGGGGAAAATAATACCGAAGAAATTATTTAATTATTATTGTTTTTTTCCTTTTTTTT